AACCCATTTGCCCTCTTCTCCTTCATCTCCTTCTCGGTCAGCCGTTTGAACTGTCCACCGTTTCCCCCTCCTCCAGTTCTCTCCTTTGGTGCCTCCTTCAGATTCCCTGAGTATCCCACCTTTGAAGGCAAGATGGTAGTCGTCATCCTGTGCGACCCTCCCGAATAGTTTCCCCGAGCTCCTCTTTCAGATTTCTTCTGATCCTCCACCAACTGGGCTAACTCCATAGCCTTCCCTAGGTTCCTCGACTCCAAAACTCTGACCGTTGTTCGTATCTCGGGCTTAAGCCCCTTCATGAAGTTCCCCTCTAGGGCGACTCTGAGATGTGATCCAATCGGCTAGCCAAGTACTCAAATCTGTCCCGATAATCTGCCACCGTCCCCTCCTGAGTCAGGGCGAAGAACTGCTCATAGAAATCTCCTCCCCCATCGGCTCGGAAACGTTCTAATAGGCAGTCCTTAAACTCCCTCCAACTCCGGATGGGCTCCCTCCTGTCACGCCACTGGTACCATGCCAAAGCCTTTCCTTCCAGACACAATCGTGCCGTCGTCAGATTCTCATCCTCTGTCAACCCATTGACAGCAAAGTAACGATTCACCTTGTAGATCCAGCCATAGCCGTCTTCCCCCTCGAAAATGGGCATCTTCAATTTCCTCACCTTGGGATCTCCCCGGTATCCTCCATACCTCCCATTCCCCTCAGAGGAGGCGTTCCCCAATTGTCCCGATCGTCCCTCCGACGAATATATTCTAACTCCTCTTTATACTCACCTCTCCTCCCTTCAACATCATCACCTCGACGCTGAATACCTTCAAATTCAGCACCTCGACGATGATGTTGCTCCCTTCTTCCTTCGAAATCCCCCCCTCGACGCTGAATTCTTTCGAATTCAGCACCTCGGCGATGAGATCCCTCTCTCCTCCCACCAAAATCAGCCCCCCTTCTATCATGTCCCATACTCATCTCTTCCCTCGAAAGAGGCTGTAGAGGAGGCATGTTGTTCTCTTCCTCTAGGATCTCCACCTCCGAATTTCTCCTCCCCCGCGAGGGGTTCGGATTTCCTCCCATGCCATGGCCGTCGGCGGTCTCTCTTACTTCCGATGTCGCCGGATTGGTTTTCATCTCAAGTAGTTTCTTCAACATTTCCTCCATTGCGGTGAACTTCCCCTCCAACCTTTCATTGTTGGAGGTGATTTGATTTTGAAGGTTGAAGAATCTTTTCTCCAAGTCGGCTTTCAATTGGCCGACTTCGCCTTCCAAGACGTCAACCTTCTTTTCCGCCCATAGTTCTTCTCAAGATTTCACTGGAAGATCTTCTTTCCGAACAAGAATAAATCTCGCTTGTAAATCTTCAGGAAATCAGCCCAACCGCCTGTCCCAAAAATAATGAGGCTCTAGAATACCAATTTGATAGGACATGCTTATATTCTACAAGCAAACCTAACCCAAATTCAAGTATCAAAACAAAGAAAACTGCTGTTCCACTCCGCAAGAAACACAGCCCACATACAATGAAAATCTGTATGGAGGAACTTAAGGCAGGAAAATCTGTATGGGAAAATCGTTAGTTGAAAGCAATTGCACCAACATCTTGTATCCCACTTAGCTTAGATGGAAACAAGCCAGTTTGCAACGATACGAAATTTTTCCTTCTCAATTTTTCGAGAGAGTCAGGAAAATTACTCTCCAACAATCTCCGGCAACACCAATGAGCCCAAAACAATACCCTAGATCTTCCCAATAACAAGATTCCCATAAGAATAATCCCCCTTTCCCCTAACCTCCTAATTAACCATAAAAGAGTTTTACAAAATGTCTAAACAACCCCTCTCATTCAAAATTCCCTCCACAAACTCCTCCTTGGCCCCCCACGGGTTCCGCCTGTGCCTGCTCGATTCCGCCTGGAGTATAGTGGGGACCGGTCCGGGCTGGACCGGTCCAGCCGGCCCCTCCTGGGCGGCTTAACACCCTCCCATGCCAAGTTGATTCATACAACATTGATTTGCTGTTATTTAATGAGAAGAGATGAGATGCTTGTGAGATTGATGTGATATATAGGTTAGAAATGCTATGTTGCTGGGAGCAAACTCAAGCTAAATATTTAGCTCTTGCTTACTAAGCTTTCATCCTTGGAAAGAATGTCAATTTGAAATCAATTTTGTCAACAAACAAGGAAGTTATAAATGATATAACAACAAGAAGATTGCTCCTTTATCCTACTTGGGGTCAGCTATGTGAATCTTTTGTCTCCATTATGCTCTATTAAAAATCGAATTCTTATTTAAATCTAATAAAAAAGGGTCATTTCTAATACTTTTAACTAATTCTTTTTAGGTCTACTTTTACTTTTCTTAATATAGACTAGATCTAATATATCTACTCTCCTAACCGGGTCATCGGATGACTGATGTTTTATGTGACCAAACCATCTAATGCGACTTCCTCTAATCTTATCTGCCACTGGAGCTACTCCAACCTTGTCACGTATAAACTTGTTTCACATTCTGAAGCTATAAGTGATGCGACTATGAATTTTATGGAGAGTTAAATCCTAATTTGGGATGAATGCTTGCATCATGTTTATCAAATGTAAGACATTTTTTAAGCTGGCTTTCCTGTAGTGGGCTGATGAATAAATCAATCCTTGGGAGTGGAAGGAGAACTATCCAAAGCAGCTTTCATTCAAGACAAATGGTTTGTTGTTGGGAAAAGACGGGGGATATGAGGTGGGGTTATATGAATGATTTGGTTCATTCTCACTAGAAATTGCATGTAAAGAATATCGCGAGTTTAACTTGCAAATGATAATTGCTAACGGAGTTCTTGAAGGATTGAAGGAAAAAACCTTAGTTTTTTTTCTAAGAGTTTAGCTTCATTAGTTCATTAAGTTTTAGCTTCACTCATTTGAGACTCCCCTCATAGGATAAGGCTGGTCTTTGAGCAGAATGCAAGAAAGGCCTCAGATACTGTAGGAAAGCCTTGATAGCATCTTTTTTCTATTGAAGGTAACATCCCCTGATCTTATTGTCTTGATGTTTGTTATTCTTTATTTGCTTGAAGTTTTGCGGATACCTCTCCATCTAGTTGTTTGATCTTTTTAATAAATTCACAGTCATTAATGAATTGGCATTGAGCATTAATGGTGCAAGATTTAATGGTATCAATTATTTGCCATTTTGCCATAAACAATTTCAAAAGGAATCTTTCCTGGTAGGTTGGTTGATTGAGTTCACCATCATTAGCATCATTATTTTTATGCAACTAGCATAGTCGAGTTGTTACTAGCAGATTCGAGCAAAAGATAATAGGATTCCATTTTCCCGAAGATAATTAGATTCCCTTTTCGAACGTGTTTTCTCACAATACTCGGAAACCTTATATCCTAACGCTTAATTAGTATGCCCCTCCAAGTCCAAGAAGGAATGAAAATTAAAATAAGAGACTAAATTTCATGGAGAGTTAAATACTACTTTGTGATGAATGCTTGTCTCATGTTTAATACACGCAAGACAGGCTGTAAGTTGATTTTATGGTGGCGGCTGATGCGTAACTCAACCAACCCTTGGGCAGGGAATGAGAACTAGCAAAAAAATACTTTCATTAATCAAGACACACTTACAAAGGTTTGTTGTGGGGAAACAAATGTGGGAGAGGGAGTGGGTTTATGTGAGTTCTTTGTTTCATTAAGTCATAGAAGTTGTGTGTTAAGAATACCTTGAGTTAAACTTGTGAATGCTAATTGCTAATGAAGTTCTTAAAGCAATGAAGGAAAAAAAACCCATAGTTCTATGTAGGAATTCAGCTTCATTAGTTCATCAAATTTTAGCTTCACATTCCCCCTTCTAGAGATGCTCCTTTTATTGGTGAAGACATATCTTAACAATATGCAATAAAAGTTGCAGATACAGTAGGATAGTCTTGATAGCATATCCTATTTTGAAGTTAACATCACCCTGACGTTATTTTATGGATGTTTGTTATTCTTTTTTTGCTTTAAAGTTTTGTGGATACCTCTCCATGTAGTTGCTTGATCTTCCTAACACGTTCATTATAGTCATTACTGAATTGGCATTGAGCTGTAAGTGTGCAAGATTTAATGGTCTTAATTATTTTCCATAAACAACTTCAAAAGGAATGTTTCTAGTAGGTTGTTTAACTGAATTCATCATCATTAATATCATTATTTTTATCCCAATTAGGATAGCCAGCTTGTTATTTGCAAATTCAATTAAAATATAATAGGATTCATCCTAAAAGATAATAAGATTCCATTTCTCTCATAAAACATTCCCTTTATAAACAATGTGAAAATGAATCTTGAACTTGACATCCTAGTCTAAAATAATTATTTATTTATATCATGGAGGCATATAATTTCATTTAATTAGTGTCGACAATTAGAAATTAAGCTTGTCTTTGCTACATTGTGGAAAAGTAATGTTTCTAGGTGTTAGAGAGAAGCATTTTATCACGAACATCATTAATCATTTGAGCATTGAATTCTAGTAAGCTAACGATAAAATACATGTGTTGTGCTTTTTTCAAGGTTTTGGAGAGGTTGAAGTTCCAAGTTAATATTCTTTTTGTTAGCTTTCGTAATGTGGCAAGTTTGGCACTGAACATGTAAAAGTCATCCTCACAGTTTTTGACCAATAAAGGTTATTTTGGAAAATAATTACCATTAAATTGAAGTATTTTTCTGTGTTTTTTTGTTTGTTATTTTATCGTTTTGTTCCTAGCATGACAAACAAAGCTCTATTCTAAGAGATTTGATTTGTAGCTTTCATCTTAGATATGATTGCTCAGACTTAAAAACTAAGATCCACCCTTTAGGCTGAAGTTACCAAGGCATGTTGGCTTGCAGTTGAATTTAATATTATAAAGTTTTCATGCTAATGCGAATCAGAGCTTTGTGAAAAGCAGATTATACATTTTTTCTTTTGATGTATTAGCTTTTAATGTATAGAAGAATTTGATAGCCTATGATCATGTTGAAGCAGGGATCAGATTTTGTGGCAAAAGCTGTTGATGTAGCGGCAGCTGAATTACATGCAATTGCAACCCCCGGCCAAGGTATGTGCTTTGTTTTCTGATAAACATTATGGTTTTTTTTTTCTAAAATAGGTTTTGAGAAATATACGAGTAATGTAATTGCCACTGGTCACAGTTACTCAGGTTGAACTGGATCGAGCAAAAAATGCTACAAGATCAGCCATTTTGATGAACCTGGAGTCCAGAGTATTTAAGGATTTGGATAACCTTCTTAACTATTAACTAAGTTTTTTTGTAAGGCCTTTATGATGATCCTTTTTTGCCATTCAGGCTATTGTTGCTGAGGACATTGGAAGGCAAATATTGACTTACGGATCCAGGTAACCTAAAGTTTCCTAATCTTCAATCTCATCCCTTGTTTTGAGTGCTTGATTTTCTATTGCTGTTTTTTAGGAAGCCAGTGGAGCATTTTCTAAGATGTTTAGATGAACTTAATCTAGATGATTTAACCGTTTTGGCTCAGAAGATAATATCTTCACCCCTTACTATGGGTTGCTTGGGAGATGGTTAGTCTTTTACTTTGCTTTGCCATATTTTGGTTCTTTCCGTTGAATTTTTATACTATTACTGTTTTGAGTTCATAAGGCGATTCCAACTTCGGTCTCTTTCCTTCAGTTTACTGCGTTCCAAGTTATGAAACTATCAAGTTAAGATTCCAAGCGGCAAATTGAAGATTAGCTGAGCTACTCAATTTATCAAGGTATTCTTGACATTTGCAATTATTACATACACGCCTGTCTAGGAGTGCATCTAAATCTGTATAAAGTGATGCATGATCACTCTGTATTAGTTTTTTTTTTTATTGCCATTAACGCATCCTTAATATAATTTCATGCAAAGAAAATTGAGGATTCATAGATCTCAAGTCATCTAAAATTTATTTTATTTAAATGTAAATGGATAAATATCAAAATTAGAATCCAAATGATAATGAAATGATCTTAATTATCTGAGAAATTCAATGAGGAATTAGACACTCATAAAATCAATTAGCAGTTGAATTACATTTCCACAAATAATCTTTTGATTTGTCAAATTTTTATCAAAATCAAGAGCACTATATAAGTCAATATCAAATAATGTAGTTGAGATAGAATAAGTGTTAAGAATTATTATGTTGCCACATCAATGTTATTGCAGATGATTTGTATTTATTAGTAGGAATTTATATTATTTGTAATTATAATATATACTTATTATTGAAGTTTTTTCTATCCTTTTTTTATTGCTTCCTTCTGTAGTAAAATTATAATTGATTAAAGTAGTGTTTAATATTTTCTAACATGATATCAGACCAAAGAGAAAAAGGTTTTGTCTGTCTGATCTTTCTGGTGGTATTATTTCTATCCTATTTCTCCCTTCTCTTCCCCCGTCTTTTTCTCTCTTTTCCTTCTGTCCTATCTGCAGAGGACTTTGCATTCCTTTTGAGCAATTCGGGTCAGTAAAGGCGACAACATTTTTTAGTATACTTGATTTTTACCTTGCAATTGCTGCTAGTAAAGGATTTTCTTGGCTTGGAGCGGTGGTCTCTGTATCTTGCTGCACTCGTGCAAGTGAGTGGTTTCTTGCTTTAATTTCTGATCTTGCTTTCGTTGTTTTGTTGCTTTGGGCTGAGAAAGCTTGAAACTTGGGGCATTCCTCTGTTGATTTGGAGTCATTTGTTTTACATTTTTCAGTTGCGACTTAGGTTTTAATGTTTTTGCTGTTTCTGTTTCTTGTTTTAGTCAGATTAAATTATCGGGAAATTTATATGTCGAGTGGTTCGTGTGTGTTTACTAAGTGCATTGGCTCAGAATGGAATATAGAAGTAGGCCATGAAAATGATTGATATAATGCCGCAAAAGGCAATTGTTGTGGATCCTGGAAATCTTGATGTGTTTGTGTTGCATTTGTAGTGTAGAGCCAATGTAGGAAATTGATGCAGTGATAAAGAACCTTATAAAAAATGGTTTCTTCCCAAACCCCAAATCTTCCTATTTGTCAAGTTATGTAACTGAGGGAGGTGGAAGGAGGCTACTAAGCTATTTGGATAAATTTATGCTGGTGAATGCTTCTTGTTGTTGCTTGCTGATGAAGCAATTCAGGAAGGGTGAGTTTTTGGATTTGTCTATTGGTTTGCGTGAGAAGAAGGATTTGATGGATCCTTGAATGTGGATTCTTATAATGCATTATTAGAAGAGTTTGAAAGAAGGTTGGTATATAAGGTGTTGTAGTTGGCTTCAAGTGCATTGGCAAATGCAAAAAAAAAAAAAAGAAGATCAAATGTTTGAATTATGAATCGTTGCGTACATATTTATCAAGTTACATTTGTTTCTACTCTACTTTCGTATTTTGGTTGGCAAACCCTCGATGTTTTTTGCCGCCATATTGTGATTTTGTAGGTTGGAGGGGGGTCATTTTAGAATTATTAGAATTATGTCATTGTCATATTAATATTATCACATGTGATTTGAATTTATTATATTTTTCTTATTGTTCTCTTCTATTATTTTTATATGGGCATGCTTGCACTAGTGCCATAATTGAATTTAAGTAAAAATGCAGCCTTTAATGTTTTCTAACAATAAGGTATGAAAATACCAAAATAAGAAAAATTATGCCTCACACTAGTGCAACAAAGAGATGAATTTGAAAATAAATTTTTTAAGCCATAAGATATTCATTACATTTCTTAAAACAACCATTGACAGATTCCTTATATCATATGCTATTAGATATAGTTGGCACAAGATCTAGCTTAATCCAAGTTTAAATTAAAATCTCAAAAGATAATAAAAACTCCAACTTTTTAATTTCAAATACAATGTCATCTTGTCAATTTTTCAATTTAAAAATTCTCAAAACTAACTGGCTGTTCGCAATAATTCCGCACAAGCAAATGCCAAAGCTAATATAAGGCAGATAAAAAATGCACCTGTAAAGGAAACCTCAAAACCTGCCTTATCAAATACCATGAAAACAGAGAAAGAAAGAAACCACCTAAAGAAACACATAAAAGTTAAAATCTGACAAAATGGCAAGTGGAAAAGAAAAAATCAATAACAATAACCAATGCCTATTCCAATTTTCACAGCCAAAGAAAACCACATCAATTTGCCTGGCTTGAAATTTTATGACTTAGATGAATTGAGCTTTTTATTCAAATTGAATTAAAATTGAAATCATGTCATGAACTAAATTAAAGTTGGGAAATAAAAATAGTTCCCTCTCTCAACCATCATCAGTGGTGTGTTCTTAATTATAGAATGGTAAATAAAAATAAACTAACAAATAAAGAAATAAACAAATAAGCTATGCTTAGATTAGTGTTTGATGTGATGCTTCCAATGAGAATAAGCACATATATCTTCGTCAATTTTGCATGACTAGGACAAATTCAGCTTAAACATTTTTATTTGAGAATTTGACTCTTAACATGACACAGTGGAGAAAAAAGATTCATGTAGCCGATCCCACGCAGTGGGATAAAGGCTTGATGTTGTTGTTATTGTTGTACTCGTTAAGTAAATAAATTATGAGGTAGATTTTATGTATGTTGTAAAGCAGTCTCTGAATTATTACAATTAGGGGTGTCAATAAATGATCTGACACTACAATATGACATGAGCCCGACTCGAAAAATTCAAGTTCAAGTTGAGCCAATTAAATTTTTGGTTGGGTTCAAGTTTGAAATATTGACCTGCTAAAATTTTGGGTTGGCCAGCAAAACCCAAAATTGACTTGAAATCAAATGAAATACTATTCAAGTTTGGGTTAAATGGGTCGAGTTGCACGAGTTTTGTTGATAAAAAAAAATTTACATGTGCTTTGCTAAATCTCTCTTTGACTTCAATAAAAGCAATATCAACATATTTAGTACATTTGAATTCTTCTTTATGAGGATAAATTTTAATTAAAACCCTAATATTACTGATAAACCCTTTAATGATCATTTGTAAAAAATGAGCAAACTTTGAAAACTTTGAATATCGTGAATATTAGTAGGTTCTGATTGATAGTAAATCACTTTAACCTTATAAGAATCAATAGCTTGTCAATCACCAAACATAACAAAATCTATGATCATGGATGGAGTCACAAATAGTTTGGTTTTTTCATGTTAAGTTAAAAATTGTATCATGTAAATTCTCTTGGACTTTCCTAAGATACACCAAATGATTATCATTAAAACATCATTAAAATAAACAACAAGAAAATTTTCAGTGAAAGGTCACATGATATGATTCGTTATTCTTATTGTAGTAGGTGCATTGTTTGAGCCAAATGACACACTAATCATTCATATAATCCATCTGTGATTTTAAAAGTGATTTTTCATTCATCTTCTCTTATTCTGACTTGATGATAGCTAGTTTGCAAATCAATTTAGAAAATATTACAACACAATTCATTGTTACTATTATATCATCTAATTGAAGTGCTGAAAATCTATATTTGATGATGATTTTGCTAATGATTCTATTTTACTGATTATTCTATTATGCACCCACACATTCAATTTTAGATATACTCAAACGAGAACTTTTAGACTCTAGGTTAACCTTCATAATTCAAGTTTTCCTTGAACTACCTCTTTAGTCTTTAAACTGCAGTTGCTAGGTTCTAAGTCAGGAATGAGAAAAGTGAAAGGGTTGCATTAGATAGTCAACACTCAGTATAAAACTTTTAGAATATTCATGACATGAAGCTTTTTTGGTTAGCACAAAATACAACTTAATTCTTGTTCAAATTAAAACCCAAATCACAAGTACCAGTCCAACTTGTTTTTAATTTCAAATCAAATCTTGTCCAGTCAACCTTTCAATTTAAAAATTCCGACAGCTATGATTAAAACAGAAATTCCGCACTAGTCAGAGCCGAAGATAACATAAGTTGCATAAAACTTGCACCTTTAACAAAAACCCAATAACCCACCACATCAACAGCTGTTATACAGTACCAGAAGCTTCAACGCCTGTTTTGTTTATTTATTTATTTATTTCTTTATCATCTCTGAAACAGATAAAGCCAAGAACCCACAGCATAAAGCAACGCATGGAAGTAAAAAAGCTTTTTATGTCGTTGTTTCTATCGTAATGTAGCTGCTGGAAAGCATTTTTTGTTAGAACTTGGAAGGTTGAGGAAGAAAGGAAAGCTGGAGGAATATCTTCAAGTCAACCTTAGCTCTTGATCCTCTTCAGAGAAGCCTTCATCTGGCGCTGCAATTGAGTTCAGCAGTGCAAATAACATCAAGTGGATATCTTTCTTTCTTATTACTATGGATAGTTATTTTTATTGATCTGATGAGGTTTTTTAGACAGCTTTGATTATCATTCCAATCTTTTTGTATATACACACACAATAGCCCCACATATTATTATGATATTTATTGATCATAATTTAGTCCCTTGACGACAATTGGATGCGATGGACTATCTTTATGTTTCATATGAAATGCTATGGCATGTTTGGATGGTCTGGAGTTTCTCAGGCAACCGCAGCTGCAATTACCATGGGATTCATGTGTGGTTATTATTAGTGAATTGACTCCGGAAAATTTTTATATGATATGCTCAAATCTTGAGACAATCCTTGTATTTGAAATTATGGAAATAAATATCAAATATCAATGATTAGTGCTTAACTTGCTCAAATATTATTTATAATAACACCTACATCATTGGTGGAGCGTGAACAGTGCGACGTCAATATTGACGTTGCACTATTCACATACGTGATTTTTTTATCTCAATCGGATTTGTTGAAGAAATGCGCGAAAGAGGAGAAAGATGGTTACCTTTGCAGAAGCGCGCAAAATGGAGTTCGATTGGAGATGAATCACGGAATTTTGAGTTTCACTGCATTTTGGAGTGAAAAATGGGATTTTTGGTTGGAGATGTCCTAGCGCCTAGCGGTGTCTAGATGCTATTTGTTTATCAAATTTTATAACTTGTATGTTAAATTACTTTTTTATTCACTACAATGAATTATTCTATTTGTAAGTTAGCTGGTGACTTTTAATAAATTTTTAACTAATAATTTCTAAACAAATTTAAATTAGCTATTTAAATAAGAACATAAGCTGTATTCATTAAAAAATAATCCATAAATGTTAGTTTGATGGTAATTTTATTTAAACATAAGAAATAATTGAAATTTTAATTTAGAAAAAAAACTGTTCATTTTAATGTGATTTATTATAGAAATTAACTTAAAAAATTAATTGAATAAATACGAATAAATATTAATAATCTATAAATATGTAAAATGATATTTTATATGCGTTCATATGTTTACTCTATGTTATTTAATTAATTCAAAGTTACTAATATTATTATTTAATTTAAAGATTGGAATGTTATGTTAATTGATATTAATAATACTTATCATATAATTTAAATTGATATGAAAATTATATCTTTATAATTACAATATTTATTTTTTATATTTAGTTTCTAAAATTATCATTAAATAAATAAGATGAAATTGAAGAAATATTAAAAATTTATGGATTTATTGTTTCTGTAAACGGAAAGGGTGATCATACTGATTGGGCTTGGCTTAATTTTTCTATAATTTTACCCTCTTTGGTTTTTCTCTCTGGCGTTCCGAGAACCTTAGGCCTGTCAAGGGTTTTGAGCGTTCTTGCGTGAATGAGCGCTTTGTAGGTCTCCTGAAGCTTTTTTACCTTCCTCAACGATGTCTGATAGGAAACGTTGATGGAAGGCAACAATCTGTCTCTTTTTGCGCGCTCTTCTCGTAAACCTGAGAGACGTCTAGGGTTAACTTTTCATCTTCTTTTTTTTGTCCTTGCGGTTTGGCTTCCTTGCTTCGCAGGAAGTTTGACATTGCACGGGTGGCTTACTCGGCTCCTTTGTTTTTGTTCGATTTCGCTACGTCGACGACGTTCCCTTTTCCTGTTGGATCGGAAGTTACTACATTTTGATCTGAAGTAAGGACGGGAGTTCGCTAGCTGTGAAGGTAACTTTCTCCCTTTCGCGCGCTTCTTCGGCAAAATCCCGTAAATCCGCCCAACTATAGGATTTTGTAGATCCGGGATTTACGGTAACAAGAGGGAAAAGGAGGATTTAGATCTTCCTTATTTGCGCACTTATTTTGGAACTTTATTATATGCTTTTTAATGCCCTTGTTTTGTACGAAGAGCCATCACACGTACAAATAACAGAGAGATGCAACATTCTTATGACTTCAGAGGCACCCGAATTTTTTATGTGGTAACCTCTGAAAGGTGAAAAAATAAGGGGCTTGACCAGTTAAAATGATTCCACTAGTGTTTGTTGCTGATTACAAATAATTCCTCTCCTCGGGGGAAGGCCTCGGCTTAATATAGCAAATATACATCATATAGAGCGCATTACATGTTGGAGTTTGGAGCATCCAGTGATGTGAAAATTGTTCTCAAAAGAACAATGACTTGTTCATTTGGTTGGTAAGAACATAATCGAGTGCTAGAGGTCGGAGGGACAATAGTAGGCATTGACCAAAGAGGGATGTTACACAAAGTTTTGATATCGTTGATTACCAAATATGAATGATCAAAGCTCTTTTTTTTTTTTTGACAAAGCTATGATCTATGCATGATCATTTGGCATTGAGGCAACAAGGAGGGCTTAAAAATCCTCAACCATGGTGCATCCTTGTTTTCTTCCATAGCGCTTGACTTGAGAGGGTAGGGAGAAAGCTTTGTTTCTTTATATATGCTAAATTTCAAAAGTTTCTTGAGAGTGTATCTCATGAAGTACTGTGCAAAAACCATGGAAAAAAATGCTGATTTCTATTTTGAGACAAATTTACTTGGGATACCATCTCTCTCTCTCTCTCTATTATATATATATGAGCAAGATTATACAAATGTGGATTTATTTTATTGAATAGCCTAGTGGAAAAAAGGCCTGTTAGGTGTTACAATGAGAAACATGATATGAATTGTGAGGTATTATGGTGAAATTCAAGGGCCAATTTTCTTCATTTTATATTTTTCTTGGAAAAGAATATTTAAATCTATCTTGAATTCAAAATTTTTTATGAGCGATAGATAGAAATCCTGTCATTTGCTTCAGCTTTACAGTGAAAATCAACAAGGTACTATATGTGTGCTTATGTTAAGATTAGTGCTGTACACAACATGGAGAGCTATGTTGATGGTGGATGTTAAACATCACTAAGTTTCCTTGGTAAAATTTGGTTTGTTATGGTGATGGTGTGACAACTTAGATATAACCTAGAGCTTCTAAACATCTGCAGTTGTTACTATAAGTATTTAAGCAAAATAATTTGTTGAACCAAAGTTTATCTGTTACTCTTGAGTATTCATGCTCCCAACAAATTTTTTCAAATGGTATTGTGTTTCTGTATGTGGAAGCCTTTCATCTCAAGTTCTGACTGCATGCATTCAATGATGCAAATTTGGTTAGGATATGATGAATGATTTAATACTATTGAATGCATTGCAATCATTAAATTTGACTTATGTTAAGAAAGGTAGGGGTAGACCTAAAAATATTTGGTTAGAGAATATTAGAAATGATATTTCCTTATTAGATTTAAATAAGAGTTTGACTTTTAATACAATGGAGAAAAGGTTTCATGTAGCTGAACCCACGTAGTGGGACAAAGGCTTCATGTTGTTGTTGTTGTTGTTGCTGTTGCATTGCAATCATGCCTCATCTCCATCATACAATAGAGTTAGGACTTAGGAGGTCCCATTTATCAAGATTTGTGCCATTTACTACATTCAATAATTTGATATTCTATCTTTCGAGTAAGAATTTGTGAGGGTGATGATGAGGATGATTTAGATTTTTTCTATAGATTGCTCAAGGCTGCCATAATCTCTATATTTTCTATGGTAATGATGTGGTGTGTTTGGATGATCTGGAGCTTCTCTGGCAATCGCACTGCTGCAATTACCATGGGGATTCCTGCATAGCTATTAGTAGAATGTTTCTGCACGTTTCTTATTCTGTAACATCCGCAATCATATGTGCCCTCTTATTTTTCGTGTGTAAGTCCCTAATTCTTCTTTACTTTTCGAAATGTTCATTTTGAGTTATGGGTACCACTACTCAATGTGCAATATAATAGGCAAAGCATCTTTGCTTTTCTTGTTTTATGAATTCCTCTATCATATGTTTCTTCTTATTCTTGTTTTGTTCTTCATGTTCTCTTGACCTTTTGGGAATGCCTCTCTTTTGGCTATGATTTGGTTGGAGGAATTAAGCGGAAATGAAATATTATTTACCTAATAGTTACATCTTGAACGTTTGTTTTAGGTGGTGTTGATAAAGAATTGGTTTGACCAAGTAAATTAGAGTGTGTATATTTCTCTTCATGATTTTATACCTAAAATTGAAGTGTGTAGAATATTAACTTTGGTTTATTCTTCTTTTTTTGAGATATTCCTTCAAGCTAAAAATAAAAGATATTGCTTTTTTACTCGGAGTTCTCCACAATCAAATTAATGGGCAAGTTTTTTTTTTTGTTTAAGTTCTATTAATATTTCAATTTACAATTCATTGTCATTTCTGCACGCAACATGTGCACTGCAATATGCTTGACTTTCTTTTAATTTCCATTTACATTCCTTATTAGGCAGTTGCAGATGTATATTTGTAGCTGAAGAAATTGTTGAGTAAGCCACATGGATTTTTGAGTTATTCAGTTAGTTTTTTGTTTTAGTGTCCATTTCGAATCGCCAATGTTGAGTGCTTAGTTTGTTTAGAAGGTGAGGTTTTGGGTACTGATTGTGAATACTCTTATTTCTCATTGTTTTAAAAGAGCATGGTTTCTTATCCTTTTATTTATTGTATCTTTGAACTGCTTTTTTTTTACCTGATTGAGGTTTGAATTGAATTCAACTAAAAAATTTTGATATTGGCAAGTTGGATGGGACAATGAGTTATAAATATCAAACATTGCAAGAAGTGGGTGAATAGTATAAGATGTGTGAGGATAAGAGTTGCTATTCTTGTAAAATGAATAATAGTCTACTTGTCTCTCTTGATAAGAGTTGCTGTTATTCTGAAATAGATAATAGCCTATCACCTATGTAAGTTTGAGGGCTTTGTCTTCATTATAATTTTTATGCATGTAGGTGAAATCTTGGAATCTTTCTTGATGAGAAGGGAAAAAGGAAATTGCATTATGAGGCTTAATCTTAATGAGTGAGCTGCAGATAAATTTCTATTTTTTTTCTCTTCTACATGATGAAACTCATCTAATTGGGCTTGCTAACATGAGAGATACCAAGACTAATGCTATAAACATATCATAAGGTTGCATGTTGTTGTTTTTTTTGTTTATGATTAAAGAATACTTGTGGGCAATGATGATGATTTTTAGGCCAGACATTGTCTGAGTAGGACTACCTTGTAATACTTTTGTATTTTCTATGATGTTTATGTTGAATTTCAGAATTGCCAGAAACTTCAAGGAACCATGTCTGTGATCACTAGGGGGATTCATGTACTATGATATGAAGAATATTACTCTACTTGTCTTTGTTCATGGATCCCGTTGTCAATTGAGCTACTTGTTATTTGCTCTTTTTTTTTTTGGATCACCTTCTTTCCTTTTGATTATTGTCTTTCTTTGTTTTTGGGTGTTATACAGTGTTGTGCAGTGTGGTAACCTGGTAGGTATTAGTGTCTTTGAAATTATAATGCTGTGTCAGATGTATATTTGTGGTGGATGGGCTTGTTGTGGAAGAATCATGGCTCTTTAGGTTGTTGCACCAAGTTCTTCTGCTTCAAATAAAAGTGATCAGTGCCTATGTTTTTATACCTGTGTCTATGCAGCTACTGTTTGGCATCTATCATTGGATCTTCCTTGGTTGAGTTTTCCTTGTCCTTAGTCTTTTTTTTTTCTTATACTTGAAATTTTATACTAGAAAGCTGATTTAGAAAATAATAAGAAAATTGTCTCAAACGAAGCCTTACTCATTTTTTTTTTACGAGACTGGGAATTATATTGAGGACATAATTCATCAGGTAGCATATATATATATATATATATGTATGTATATATCATATTAAGACATCTCTCATATATATATATAATATATATATATATATATATAAGTGCGTCTCTCTATTTTATTTGGCCACTGTCACTATTCACTTGCTCGCATATAAACTTTTTTTTTTGTATTTTTTGTTTCTAAGTGGTTGTTTGGCAACGTGATTTATTGCAGGATTTATGCTAAATTCTCCCAACGGGATTTGAGACACCCATAAATGTCACGGGCGGATATAATCTCCGTTTCTCGCTTTTTTGCTGTAAATCCTGGATTTCTAAAATCATGTAGTTCTGCGGATTACTGGATTTGGCCGAGAAAGCGCGTGAAAGGGAGAAAGTTACCTTTACAGCGAGCGAGTGCCCATCACTGCTTCCGATTAAAATGTTGTAACTTCCAATAACGTAGTTGAAGGGGCAAACTGAACTGGCAATGAGAAGAAGAGAAGATAAAAAAGCAAACCCTAGACGCCTCTAAGCTATTACTCGTTAACTTAATTTAATTTAAAAATTAATTAATTAATTAATTAATAGTATAATTAGAGCATAAACTAATTATCTAATTTAACTTATGGGCCTTCCAATTGAGCACTCTGAATTTGCCTGTAGTGTAAGAATTTGTGAGGCTAATGGTGATGATGACATAGAATGCATCCATCTTCTACACTTCTGCTATATATATCTTTATGTTTCCTTGGGTAAAAATGTGGCATGTTTGGATGGTTTGGAGCTTCTCAGGCAAGAGCAGCCTCAATTGCCAAGGGGTTTCATGTTCAGCTATTAATAGGTTGCTTTGGCAGTTGTCTTATTTCATGACTTCCACTATAATATGAGCATATATGTGAAAAGGTTTGAGTAGCTCCAGTGGAAGATAAGATTAGAGAGAGTCACCTTAGATGGTTTGGTCACATAAAATGACAGTCTTTCGATGACCCGGTTAGGAAAGTAGAGGTATTATATTTCACTTATGTTAAGAAAGGTAGAGGATGCTAATATTATGTGGGAGAAAGTGGCTAGTG